CATTCACATACCAGTTTTGGGTTTTTTTTTTTCCAACACAGGGTCTTACACTGTTGCCCAGGCTGGAGTGCACTGGTGCAATCTCAGCTCACTGCAGCCTCGATCTCCCAAGCTTGAGCGATCCTCCTCCCTCAGCCCCACAAGTAGCTGGGACTACAGGTGTGCAACACCATGCCCAGCTAATTTTTTATTTTTTGTAGTGACAGGGTTTTATCATGTTGCCCAGGCTGGTCTTGAACTCCTGAACTCAAGTGATCTGCCCACCTTGGCCTGCCAAACTTCCGGGATGACAGGCGTAAGCCACCACACCCAGCCATGTACAAGTTTTCGAATCTGCATAAGTTCTGTCGTCTTTTGGCTACATATCTAGGAATGGAATTGTTGGATAACATAACTCCTGCTTAAGCTTTTGAGGAGCTGCCAAATTGTTTTTGAAAGCAGCTACACCCATCTCACATGCAAGGATACACAAAGACTCAAAACAAAGGGATGGAGAAAGATTTACCAACCAAATGGAGAGCAAAAATAAATAAATAAAAAGCAGGAGTTGCAATTTTTGCCTCTGATTAAATAGACTTTAAAGCAACAAAGATCAAAAGAAGCAAAGAAGGATATTACATAATGATAAAAGGAACAATGTAACAAGAAGAGCTAAAGATCCTAAATATATATGCACCTAATACAGGAATACCCAGATATATAAGACTTATAAAGAGACTTAGACTCCCACACAATAATAGTGGGAGACTTAAACATCAATATTAGACAGATCAATGAGACAGAAAATTAACAATGATATCCAGGATTTGAACTAGATCTGGAACAAGTAAACTTAATTAACATTTATAGAACTCTCCACTTTAAATACACAAAATATACACTCTTATCAGTACCACATCTCACCTATTTACAGGTTTAAATAAAATATTGGTTGGCTGCTTGTTTGTTATTTTCTTCCCTCATTTTTTGTTTTCATGTCTCTATTATTAAGAACAATTACAGGCATACCCATTTTTAGACTGCGTTCTAGCCCGGGCAATAAAGCAACACCCTCGTTCTCTCTCCCTCTTCGTCTTCCTCTTTCTTCCTCTCCTTCATTTTTTTTTATTATTCTTTTTTTTCTTTCTTTCTTTTTTTCTTTTTTCTTTTTTTAAAAAAAAGAAAGAAAAGAAAGCAGCTACACCATTTTACATTCCCATCAGCAATGTATGTGGCTTATAACTTCTCTACATTTTTGCCAGCATTTAGTATTATCTGGCTTTTTTATTCCAGCTATCCTAGTAGATATGATGTGGTGGCTCATTTTGGATTTGATTTGCTTTTCCCTGATGACTAATGACACTGAACATCTTTTCTCATTGGCCATTTGTATATCTTCTTTGGAGAAATGATATTCAAATCCTTTGCCTACTTTTAATGGGATTATTTATCTTTTATCATTAAGTTTAAAAATTATATATTCTAGATAAAAGTCCCTTGAAAAGTCTCTTGGTTTGTAAATATTTTCTTCCATTCTGTGAGTTGTCTTTTCATTTCTTTTTCTTTTTTTTTTCTTTTCTTTTTTGAGACAGTCTTGCTTTGTTGCCCAGGCTGGAGTGCAGTGGCATGACCTCTGCTCACTGCAACCTCTGCTTCCCAGGTTCAAGTGGTTCTCATGATTCTCATGCCTCAGTCTATTAAGTAGCTGGGATTACAGGCAAATGCTACCATACCCAGGTAATTTTTTGTATTTTGTATTTTTGACTGAGCTGGTCTTGAACTTCTGGCCTCAAGTGATCCACCCACCTCAGCCTCCCAAATTGCTGGAATTACAGGCATGAACCACCGTGCCCAGCTGTCTTTTCATTTCTTGATGCTATCCTTTGAAGGATACTTTCTTGATACTTATCTTCAACCTTATTTTTGTTAAAATGAAGGTGTTATGAGTTAAATAGTGTCCTCCAAAATTTATCTGTTAAATTTACAATCCCCAATATTTCAGAATGTGATGTTGTTTGAAATAGGGTTGTTGCAGATGTAGTTAGTTAATATAAGGTCATTTTGGAGTAGGGTGGGCTTCCAATCCAATGTGACTAGTGTCCTTATTAAAAGAGGAAGTTTGGACACAGGTATGCACACAAGAAGAATGTCATGTGAACACTAGGGTTACCTGCCACAAGCCTAGGGTCTATTAGAGAGGCCTAAAACAGATCCTTCCCTCATGCCTTTAGGGGGAGTATGGTCCTACCTACTGACCCCTTGATATTGGACTTCTAGCTTCCAGAACTATGAGACAATAAATTTCTGTGGTTTAAGTCATTCAGAATGCACTAGGTTTGACAGGAGCCCTAGTGTTTGAATAGGTAGCTAGGCAGACATGAGCAAGGCAGCAGAGCTCCCCACACATGTCTACTATTTTAGAGAGGCAATTGTTAAACTGTCTTCCTGCCAGCACCAGGTAAAGGCAATCTCCTAATAGATAGAAACCCCCTGAAGCTGGTTTTCAGCAGCTTCGCAATAAGATCTCAGGAGTTGGGTAAGAGGGCTCAAGCGTGCGCACTTAAGAGGCAAATGGCATATAACCAGTATATGACCTTCCTCTAGGATTGCTCAACTGGTAAGGGCAAAACAACTCAAGTGGGCACGTGTACAACTTCAGTAAGGTGACCCCTCCCTAGTGCTGGCAGGTCACTACACATGCAGACAGCCCACCCCAAGGGAAAAATCAAGGGAGGAGACACAGAAATCCTGGCACCATGCCAATGTGTAAAACCCCAAGTCAAGGGCCCAACAGTGCACTTGGATCTCTCAAGTCACTCACTTGGCCCTCTTGTAAGTGTGCTTTACTTCCTTTCATTCCTGCTCTAAAACTCTTTGATAAACTTTCATTCCTGCTCTAAAAGTTGTCTCGGTTTCTCTGCCTTATGCCCCTTAGCAGAATTCTTTCCTCCAAGAAGGCAAAAATAGAGTCTCCGCAGACCCGGCAGATTTGCCATTGCTAACATTAGCAAACTAATACAGATGCTTGAAATAACAGATCTACCTTTCTCCCATCCTCCCTCCCTTCCTTCCTTCTTTCCTTCCCTCTTTTTCTTTCTTTCCCTTCTTTCCTTCCTTTTTTCTTGAGATGGGGCCTCACTCTGTCACCCATGCTGGAGTGCAGTAGTGTGATCTGGGCTCACTGTAACCTCTGCCTCCTCCATTAAGTGATTCTCTCACCTCAGCCTCCTGAGTAGGTGGGACTACAGGCATGCCTGGCATAAGTTCTCAGGATCTTCTGGGGCTCTGTAATGGGTGGTGGTCACTCACATTTAGCTCAGAATAAATCTTTTAAAATATTTTACAGAGTTTTGTTCTTTTCATTGACAATAATATACCATTTCTTGGTTTGTAATGCTAATTATATTAATCAATTATATAAAAATTACATTGTATTTAATGGCTCTATCTTTACTTTTCCTATATAAGTGCCCTAGGGTTTTAAAAAAATTAATATCAAAGCGTTATTAAAATATGTCATTGTTTATAATCTTTAGTAAACATTTAGATTGCCTGCCTAACATTTTGGTTGCTTAACTCCTGTAAACTAAAAATAAATTTCTAAGCCTTCCAAGTGACTGAAGAGACTATGCCTTGGCCAACAGGACCCCAAAGTAAGCTTGAAAACTAAATTCTGATTCATGACAGGATACTCGGGTCAAACAAGCCTCATTATACTTCTTCCTCAATATGCAGATTAGCCTGTCTTCCCTAATGACTAACCAGAAACCAGCCCTTTTGAAAGATTTCACCACTGATATCAACCAACCACCTAATGTTGCCTCTAGTTTTTTGCCTAAGAGACAATGACATGGAGTGGTTCTGTCCCATCTCCAAAGAATGGACAGTAAGAGTTTTCATGTCCTCTGCTTCATTTTTTCATGTCAGAGGGCTGAAAACTCCACCCTCGGATCATGCTAACATTGCCATTTTTTGCACATGAGACCCATGAAGGGACATGAAGCTCCATTGCACATGCATACATTTATCCTTTCATAAATATTCATGATTCCTCCCATAGCTTATTAAATATATATATTTGACCACCCTGCTAAGCATAAATTCCTATTCTCTTTGCCCCTCCTTCAGAGTGTCTGTTTGTGGCTTCTGGCTGTGAGGTCAGCCTGCCAGCATGGCTACCCTACAGGCTGCAACCCTTCATGAGAAATAACTTTCCAAGTTTGTGAACCTCATCATTCCTCAGTTGACTTCCCTTTTCCTTTCTGAATGGAAACGGTTTTGTTCAAATACCCTCTCCTCCCATATGAAACAAGGAAGGTGATCTGAAACTCAGCACATTTAGGCTGTACTTTGTATAAGAAACTAGCCATGGTGCTACCATGTCATGTGAACTCTGGAGTTACCTGCCACAAGCAGGTAACTGGTTCTTGAGTTCCCAATGCAATAGAGATTGACATAAGGCCAAAAGAGTTTCGCCAGACAAGCCTTCATTGTTGGACGTAAGGGAGGTAGCACGAAAGAGAGAATTTCCTGACTGACTCCCCAAATAGAGCTAGCAGTACAGGAACTGACATCAGGGGTAGGGTATGCAGGCTGAACTGGGCAAAGCATATGATGGGTAGGCTATGCGGGTCAACATTACCTGGTTGCTATGGTTATCTTGAGTAATGGGCCACCTGATGGGCTGGCCAGAGGCAACAAGGCTGTAAATCAATTGTTTAGCATTCCTTCCGTAGCAAGGACACTCCACAACCTTGGTCACTTCCTAAGGCCAGTTCTGGGAATTCTTTTTTTTTTTTCCAGACAGGGTCTTGCTATGTTGCCCAAGCTGGAGTGCAGTGGTGTGATCTTGGCTCACTGCAGCCTCCACCTCCCAGTTTCAAGCAATCCTCCCACCTCAGCCTCCTGAGTAGCTGGGACCACAGGAACAGACCACCATGCTTGGCCAATTTTTCAATTTTTTGTAGAAACAAGGTCTTGAAACAAGAACATACAGGCTGTTCTTGAACTTCTGGGCTCAAGCAATTCTCCTGCCTTGGCCTCTCAAAGTGCTGGAATTGCAGGTATGAGCCATTATGCCTAGCCTAGTTCCTGGAATTCTTTAAGTAAAAGGCATGGTTAAAACATCACGGCATCAGTGAGGTAATGCTGGAGGTTTTGTGGTCAATGAGGATGCATGAAAGAATGTTCTAGTGGGGGTGAGGTGAAGCCAAGCCCCCTTCCTACTCTGTCTCAATTGTGACCTCATTTTCATTTCCAGTGACTGGTGTATAAATTGCAAAACACAGCTTTAGTAAATGAGACCTAAGGAGAGTTCTAACCAGGAATTTCTGAGAAGGACCTCCTCTGCTCTCAAGAAAGAGACACAGAAGAGTAAGTTCCTTCTTCCTCCCCTGCTGCAGCCAACTTTTGACCATATGGTAGTCTAAGCTTTGGGAAATTGTTCATATAGAGGACTGAAGAGTGGAGAGAGGTAAGTTGGGCTCTTGATGAGGTTGGTGAGCTATAATTGAAGACTGTCTTATCTCTGGACTTGCGATGTGAAATGATAAATGTATCTATTGTTTAAGCTAGTTTTACTCAGAGTTTTTGTCTTTGGTAGCCCAAAGAATCTGAATTAGTATATCACTGTTCTTTCCAAATAATAACCTTTCACTTTATTTGCCTGAGTCTTTTGGCTAATGCCTAAGCTCTACAAGAACTTTATTAGATAATTATTCTGTGCTCTAAACATTTCTTGATTTAACTTCAAACATTACTAATTAATGAGGTGTATGTGTGCTGCAGATGGGTTACAAAGGCAATGAGATATTGACTCCTTCAGTCCTTAGGATGGCTGGAAGCCTTACGATGGTCAGACTTGTCCTGGCAGGAAGCAGCTTCCATTTATTCGAGACTACTGAACAAATAACATTTTCAAATGTGTTCACTGAATTATTGTTGCTTCTTATTTCAAAATAATTAGATCATTTAGTAGGGCTGAATCCAAATTCCCTATGGAATATCAACTAATTAAGTTGGAATATTTTATTAAACGATTAATGGAATAAACTTCTAATAGCTGAAATTAGCTATATTTCTATCTATTCCATATCCCTTTGCTGAATTGTTGTCATTGACTCCAATTTGCTTGTGGAAATTGGGAGGCAACAGAAAACTCCAACACTCTGATTTAGAACACAGATGGCCCGAGTTCTGGTCCATGTCTGTTCCTGGATAGTGAGTAAATATTCTACCTTCTCTAGACAGTAGTTCCCTCCTCATCTGTTAAATGTGAGGCTCGGATTTGCTGATCTATGTTTCACCAAGTGTTTTATTTCGATAAAAATATTCTTATATTCATTAATTATCAAGTTTGTCAGTTCTTTATAAACAAATGCAATTTTTTTAGGGTGCTTATATTTTTTCCTGTCATGCTATTTATTATATATTATAATTAACTTTCCAATTTACTGGTTTTCAAATGTTGAATGGTAGACTGCGATGATTCTGAAGACAGTAGATGGATATAGTAGACAATGTCATATTATCTCGTTTGATAATGAATAGTAACTTCATAATAATTTAAAGTGTCATATTCTTAAACTAAAGAGGAAGTTCTGTGTGGGAGGATAGGCAGGTGTTAAAGATAAAAACATAATGGGTTTTGGTTGTGAAATTGTGATATTATGTTCCCTCAAAAAGGCTCTATGGAATCAAATGTAAAACAGTATCCAACAAAACAAAACAAACTTTATTATTATTCTTTTGCTCCTAGGTAGCATTCTGAAACATTTTGACCGTTTTGGTTTACTATTCTTACTTCCTATACAAAACGATGTCTTTTTTCTGCTGTTGTTTTGTTTTGAGATGGAGTCTTGTTCTGCTGTCCAGACTGGAGTGCAGTGGTGTGATCTTGGCTCATTGCAACCTCTGCCTCTGGGGTTTAAGCCATTCTCATGCCTCAGCTTCTCATGCCTCAGCCTCCCGAAGAGCTGGGCTTATAAGTGTGCTATGCCTGGCTAATTTTATTTTTTGTATTTTTACATGTCTGTAAAGGGTCCTTTACGTCTTTTGTGTGTGAAGGAATGGGAGGGGTAGGAGACAAGAGATAGGCAAAGAAATTATTTGTCTCTTTGTTTAAAAAAATCTCAAAAAGACATAATGATCCACCTATAGTTGCTAGTGCATTTTTACCACAAGAGTTTGCAGAGTTGGGGTATTTAAAACAAAACACTAGGTAACATGTTTCACACTCAGAAGCATGATAGACTGTAGGTTACAGGTGAGGCGATTTAACAAGCTGCAGTGTTTTAAATATCTCCTATACTAAATGCTTTGGTTGCAAAAGTAACTCCAAGGGAATATGACATGACCTAAAATATAGAGAAGAGTGTTATTTAAGCAATACATTGTGTGAAGTATGTTAACAAAATCTAGCTCTGCATAAACTATATAATTTCTGAACTGGGAGATATCAGCCCCTGTGGTTCACTATTTTTGGTTCTGAAATGCGGGTACAAGGGGCCAGTCTAAGGGCTCTGATTACCTTTCACACATTAGGAAGATAGCAGCTCTGAGGTATCATATGATACAGACACCTTCTCTGTACTGATCAAACACATCATTCAGTATGGAGTCATTAACTGGAAGGGTTTGCAGCAGTGGAAGTGAACTTGAAAACTCTAAACACCACTACGTCCATTCACTTATTCATGCAAAAATTATTTACTGTATACTTACCCAGGCATTGGTGATACAGCCTTAAAATAGATAACGACCCTGCTCTCACAGAGCTTGCATTCTTGAGAGGGAGGCTGACACTAAACAACAAATCCAAAACATTCTTTCAGACAGTGTGAGTGCTGAGAAGGAAATAAAGCAAAGCCAAGTCTTTATAGAGCAGACCGTGTTTGTGGCTATTTTAGATGTATAGTCAGAGAAGGGTTCTTTGCAGAGGTGACATTTGAGCCGAGACTTAAATGACAAGATGGAATCAGTAGGCAAAGCACTAAGCAGAAGAAACAGTTGTGCGAGGAGCGTGCAAAAGGAATGATTAACAATGATAGATGGAACTTGGTGACTTCCAGGAACAGCATGAAGGACTCTGTGGCCAAAACATGGTAAGCATGTGCTGATGCGGCCCCAGAGTTGGGCAAGGAGTTTCATTTTTATTCTAAGTGTAGCTGGTATCCGCTGGAAGTTTCAAGTAGAGCGCGTATTGTGGGGGATGTAATACAACAGACAGTTTAAAATACAGTACTGCACTTTGACTTATTCGAAACCTAGTTTCCAATTCCAGTGCTGGTCAGACAACACCCTGGCTGTCCCTGTTTGCTCAGGCTGTTTGCGCTCGCCGCGGCTTGTTTGTCCCTGGCACCCTGTTGACAGCCTCGGAGAGTGAGACAGTTGGCAGGCGCAGTGAGGTGCAGCCCGAGCCAAGTCGCTGCAGGGGCCGGGGCTGAGGGATGGGAAGAGGCAGAGGAGGCGGTGGTGGCGCGCTCGGAGGGCGGCGGCCTCTGCGGCGAGGGTGGTGGCCATGAGCACACCGAAAGGGGGAAAAGGAAGCGGTCCCCGACCAGCCTCCTCGGGGTTCACGCGGCCCCTGGCGGTTCGGCCCCGGAGGCTACCCGGGCGGCCCCATTTGGCACTGTTAACAATGGTGGCTTGGGGCTGAAGGCAATGGCGAGAGTGCTGGGGAGCAAAGGCGACTAGGGGAGTTTCGGTTTCTCGGGCCTAGCGCCGCGGAGCCTCGCTGCGGGCCCCACCGGTGTCACCCCGGGAACCGCAGGTGTTGATTTAAGGCTCGGAACAGGCGGGCCTTCTGCCCACATCCTGCTGCGCCCGCGGCCCGGGCTGGACGATCCGGCGCCGTGTTTTGTCAAACGCCCGCATCTAGAGGCCGCGCCCGCAGCCGCGGGTCGGGGAACTGGACTGCCGGGCGCCCTCGGCCCTCCAGGGTCCCCGCCTTGTCTTCCGTCTCCTCCCCACCACCCGCAGGGGACAGTCGGATACTGGCGGGCATCTCTGCAGAAAAGATCTACAGCGCCCGCTCCTTCGGTCCTTGGAGAAGTGATCCCTCCGCGGCTAACCTCCCCATGGAAACCGGCGATTCGAGGTCCGGATAGCGACCTTCGCCCGCAGGTTCCTGCTCTGCCTTCAGACCTCGTCTTCAGTGGTACCTGCTTAGCGAGGCGTCTCCTCACCACACCATCCGAATTAGCTACCCACTCACTGGGCATCACATCACCCGATTTAATGCGCAGCAGGGCATTGACTTTACACTCGTGTGTCTTCTGTGTTTATTTATGATCTGTTTCTGGAATGTCCGTTCCTGGGACTGGGACCATGTTTTTCCGGCGCAGTGCAGGTGTCTCGGCGTCCAGGATCGGGCGGGTCGCAGTAGGGCCCCGCATTTGTTGAGTGACTGAACTCGGTTCCCCGCCCGGGAGAGCGCCGCAACCCGGACCGCTTCAGGTAGGGGCGGGGCTTTCCGGGTCCCGCCCAGGCCCCGCCCCATCGCGAACCAGCTCCCTTCTGGCCTTTCCCCAGAACCGCCGGGGGTCGGACTGTGCTTTTCCCTCTAGCTTCCCTCGCTCTTTCTGCAGCCGCCGCGAAAACCCGGAACGGCGGAACCATCGAGCAGTGGAGCGGCGCCGCCCCTCGCTGCTCCTCCCCGGCAGCCCTCCGAGGCCGCGCTGGGCATGCTCAGTCGGCGGGGCCGCCTCAGCTCTCGGAGTAGGAAGCTCGGGCTCTCGGGTTGTGAGGAGCTGCGGCGGGGGTAAAATGGAGCCCTTCACCAATGGTGAGTGGGCGGCCGAGGCGCCGGGACACGGGCTCTCCAGAGCCCCGAGGGCCGTGAGCAGTCGTGACACGCGGAGTCGGGCTGCAGCCATCTTCCCCCCGCGGGCTTCCCACTAGGGCTGGGGGAGGCAGGGAGAGGGGATCTTAGGGAGGCAGGGAAAGGGGATTTAGGGGAGGCAGGGAGGCTCAGGGTCGGGCGGCGGCCCGTGCGGGGCCCCGGGCTGGCGTGAAGGTCAGCGCCGCCGCCGCAAGCCCGGGGTGCGGCCGGTGGGCGAACCTCAAAGTTTGGGCTGCAACGCGCAGAGGAGTGGGCATCGGGAAAGTTGGCAGCTCAGGTTTGCTCCCGGAGAAAGCGGTGTCGGCCCGACTCTCCTGCAGGAGCGTTAAGCTGTGGCCGCCGCCCAACCCAACTTTTGTGGGGCGCCAGGAGCTGTCCCCCTGCCCTTCAGTGAGCTGCCGGCGTGACTTTTCCTAATAGGGCGGGGTGGGGGTCGGGAGGCTTGGCAGGTTAATGTTGTGGAAGGAAGGGAAACTTCAGGAAAGGCTCGCTCACCCCACTCGGGGCGGCGGAGGTGCCTGACCGCAGTGCCATCCTTCTAGCCCCGCCGAGGCGCTCCGCAGGGCCACCACGCTTCCCCTCAACGGCTGCAGGTCCCATCAGTTCTTCAGTCGAAGACTTGTTAATGTCAAGGGTCCGTCACGGTGATAACCACAGTGTGACAGGAAGCGAGAGTCAACGCAGGGAGCCTGCCTGCACCCTGCCGGTAGCCACTGCCCTTCACTGAACGGGGAGCATAAATCCCACCCTAGTTAAAACGATAGCTTTTGTTCTGACCAGAAGTGCCAGAGTCACAACATAGGGGTGAGATGTTTTACCATTTTACGGCGCTGAGTGTGTGGATTTCCTTTTAAGATAGAAAGTAGGAAAACTGCCAGTAAGGGAGACGACTCACTAAAATTAGAGGATTCGCTCTCTGGTTTGACATGTTTTCCTGAGGGTGGTTGGTTACTTCAGAAGGTGGAGTATCGCTTTAAAAGGCGCCACAGTCTATCCCTGTATAGGTACGTTAGTTGCCACCCAAGAGCAGACAGATATTGTCCATTATATCCCAAATCCCAGCCAGACTTTGTTGTATGCTGCTCTTCATTCATGGGGCTGCGAACTACTGATTATATTCTCCCTTCTCCTAATGTAGAATGCTTTATTCTACTGCCATCTTTCTGTTTGTACTGTTTAATTAGGCTTACTGATAACAACTTTAATTCTGGATTTTCTTTCTCATTCAGGTCCTATTTGTAATTACTAAGACTCAAAGAATAGTCTGGTGAAGTTACTCGAAGAATTAAGGAAGGTTTGAGCTAAAAGGAATTGTAGAGACCATCTAGTACTTCAGTGTAAAATATGTTAAATACAAGTTGTTAGTCCTTACAAGTGACTGTTCCAAGGTTTAGTCTTTGTTCTTGGTAGAATGCTTGGAGTTACCATGTTTGTAGGATTTAAAATGTGAAATTTCATCTCTGTGACAAGGCTGACTCACCCATTTGGTCAAGATTAATGCTAGCTGATTTGCTGAACCTTTGCTTACAGAATTAAAGCACTTTTTCAAGTTTTGAAACTGACGTCTTTTCTCTCATAGAATATGCTTCTAGATGTGGGTATTTGCAAATTGTCACATTTGGGAGGACAATGGAAAATCCCATAGAAGAGAACAAAGAAAGAAGCAACGCTTCAACTTTCATGTAGGAAACTGGATTTTTGATTCTTTCCTGTCTTTCAGAGTTGATGCTGGAGACAGCTTGGCAGTGCATAATTTTGGTTAATGTAGCAATCATTCTTTGGAACCTTATTTAGCATCCTTTTACAAGGAAAATAGAATCGGCAGCATCTACAGTCAACAAGAAATTAGATGTTAGCAATTTGAAGTGCATTTCAGGTTTAAGATGGACAGGGTATTTATTTGAAAACTTTTGAAGAATTGTAGAATTTTCTAGTGTTTTCAAACGACATGGTACAGTAGACAGTTACGTACTTCATCCTTTTGAGTACAAAAAATATGCATATATAATGCTTCCATTGGTCTGGGTGTGATGATGCAGAGTATTTCATTATCCATAGAATTTATGATTGCAAGATTTATCAAGCCTGGTATTGGATTTTGTTACACGTTCATCCTCTTTTAATGGAATTTTTCTCACTTAACGCTTTCTCATGTATTTCTGTATATGTAGAGAGGTGTGGGAGCTTAACAAAAAACAGTTTCAGTAATTTAGGACCACATATCTTTTAGTTAAAATCTTGTCAGTGGTTCCACCTACTAACTGATACATTTGTAAAGAAAGTGAATTTCGTTTATATCTTGTCCCTCTGACCTTCAACACTCATCTGTTTTCTGTAGTTTCTCTGTTTTCTGTCCAAAGTTGCTACTGGTATGACCTATTTTTGTTGGGCCCTGCTCGCTCTCTACCTGTTGATAATTGGTTCATTTGATGAATATCCTATGTTAACCTGTTCAGAGAACATACTTCTACAATCCATTTAAAATGCATATCCCCAGAAAGGGCTTCTAAGGATGGATCTTAGTGCTAGGAATTCCCATGTAGCTCAGGATCTATTTTTGCATTTGTCCTTGGGAAAAATTGCTATTATGTTGAAGTCTGGACATCTGGTCTGAGTTTGGATCTTTGGTGGCTTTTTTATGATGAGATAAATGCTGGACCAGTACTTAAGATTGTTTTGGCAATAATGACTGTCTTGTTAGGCAGGTGGAGGTAAACTGTTAGGTAATAGTGATTTGTATATTACCAAAACAAAACAAAACGAAACAAAACAAAAAAACAAAAATGGAAGGCAACTATGTTTTTTGATAGAGGTATTAGGTTAAGGTAAATTATTTAGTGTTTATCCAGCTTTTTTGTTGTCATTTGCGTGCAGGGTTGGTATATTTTGGAAAATCTTTAATTCTTAAATTCATGTTAAGAAATACAAATGCCAAGGTTCACCCTCAGAATCTGATTGAAGAAGTCTGAGTATACATGGAATATATACTAGAAATTATGTATACTTTTTTTTTTTTTTTTTTTTATTGAGACACAGCCTCACTGTGTTGCCCAGACTGGAGTGCAGTGGCAAGATCTCGGCTCATTGCAGTCTCTGCCTCCCGGTTCAAGCAATCATCCTGCCTCAATTTCCCGGGTAGCTGGGATTACAGGCACACACTACCATGCCCAGCTAATTTTTGTATTTCTAGTAGAGATGGAGTTTTCACCATGTTGGCCAGGCTGGTCTCAAACTCCTGGCCTCAAGTGATCTGACCGCCCTAGCCTCCCAAAGTGCTGGGATTATGGGCATGAGCCACTGTGCACAGCCAAAAGTATATATACTTTCTAGTTTGTGATATATTCTAAAGTAAATCTAGTGGTTGGTATTTTGGTATTTTGAGGCCACAGAACTGAAAACATAATTTAAAGTTTTTTTTTCTTTTTTTTTTTTAATATGAACATAGGTCCCATGAATCACTTTATTACCACAGTGTGCTACATAATCAAACAAGGAGGACTTAACTGTCTTAAAAAATTATTTTTGTTTTCATTTTCAGATTGGTATCCAATTGAAAGTATTTTTCAACTTCCAAAAAGGGAAGTCTGGACAACAAATGAGATATTTGTGGCTTGTAACACGGTATAAAATTGTGATTCCATCTTTTAATCTTACACATGACAATTGCTCTGTAGGTATGCGTGTCTTTCTTAAAAAACTTTTTAGCATTACTTCTCAAAAATGTGAGCATACCACATATTGTTTTTATTTTTCTCTTGCTCTGTGATAAATTTCCACATTGAAAGAAAACCCTTAAGAAATTGAAACTTGTAATTTCTCTGTGTGATGGAATATAACTTACCTGTTTTTATCTTTCTGTCCTAAGTTTTTTTATTTGGGGAAAATAAGACTATTTGGAATCAAGTGTTAGCATCACTAATAATCTAGGGTTAAAGCTGTAGCTAGAAACAGCCCAGTTTTTAACTGGAAACTAGTAGTAGAAAAGCTCTTTGCTATTACCAGTTTCCAAAAAGTGTCTTGATACATGCATGAAAACAGCATATTTTAGAAACTCTTATAACTAGTGATTATCATTTACCTGTAGGTTTTCCATGAGAACTCAGCCTGAAAGATATATAACCAAAAAGATTGGTTGTAAGGAAATTATATAGAAAATAAGGGGGTAATTTTCTGCTCAATAATTCAGTCATACACCCATCTTTTGAATGTCCACTTACAAGTAGATATTCTGCTAGGCACAGTTACATTAAAAAAAAAAAAACAACACAAACTTGTCATCAGATAATGTGTACCTAAATAAGAGAAATGAATTGAAGAACCTAGTTTTGTTTTCATGCTAATATGAAAATATGGACACACAGAAGAAAAGCACAATAAAGCTTTGTCTAAGGCAGTATTCTAATTATGAAATAAATGTACAGAAACTTGTTCATAACTGTATAACTTCTGTTACCATAGGTTCACATGTTTACTAATTTAGTGTAATGTCCCACTAGGAAACAGCAGTGTTAACCCTCTCCATGAAAACATTAGAAACTTGAGATATGGAAGAATTTAGCCAAGATTACTCCAGACGTTGGGATGAACCTAGATGAGGCCTGTGGTTCTTGTCAGTTCAGGTGAGATCAGTGCAGCTATGTTTTGCCAGTTAGTTACTTCATGTCTTGAAAACTGTAGGGCAGTGGTCCCCAACCTTTTTGGGACCAGGGACCAGTTTCATGGAAGACCGTTTTTCCACGGACCAGGGTCGGGGGTATGTATACTTTCTAGTTTGTGATACATTCTAAAGGGAAGAAGGTTTCGGGATGATTTCACGTGTGTTACATTTATTGTGCACTTTATTTTGATTATTGTTACATTGTAATATATAATGAAATAATCATACAACTCACCTTAATGAAGAATCAGTGGGAGTCCTGAGCATGTTTTCTTCACAGTCTCATCTGGGGGTGATGGGAGACAGTGACAGATCACTAGGCATTAGATTCTCACAAGGAGCGCTCAACCTAGGTCCCTTGCATGTGCAGTTCACAGTAGCGTTCACGCTGCTATGAGAATCTAACGCCACCACTGATCTGACAGGAGGTGGAGCTCAGGTGGTAATGCTATGGGAAGTGACCGTAAATAGAGATGAAGCTTCACTTGTTTGCCTGCTACTCACCTCCTGCCTGCTGTGTGCCCTGGTTCCTAACAGGCCACAGACTGGTACTGTCTGTGGCCTGGGGGTTGGGGATCCCTGCTGTAGGGGGCTAGAGTTGAGCTGATACTACTAGGCCTTTCCATAATAAAATTGGAGCAACCAGAAAGACAGTGTCTTTTTTTTCTTTTCTTTCTTTTTTTTTTTTTTTTAAATATGAATCCCTAGATATGAAACTTTTCTGAAAGTTTGCAAGAAACCAGAATTGCGAATGGAGGGAAATTTTGGAGCCCTTGGGGTGATACAGTTCTTTTAATATCTAGATCTTGACCTAGATCTACATCTGGCTGTTGTAGAGAGGGTTGCTCATTGCCTTGGTGTTTCTGGATAGTAAATGGAACATCAGGAATTCCCTGAATCCATGGAAGGGTGGACAGGATTCCCTTGTAACCTCATCCATTGTTGTAATCCATTTGTGATTGTCCTAATGGCACCTGAAGTACTTTGCATTTTACAAAGACATTTAGAGAAAATTGGAAGAGGAGAGTCAATGTTGAAGATGAAAGAAATGTGGAGGTAAGGGAAGAAGCTGATAGAGATTTTCAAAATGGTCCTGCTT